CATAGCCTAACCGGATTAACTAGTAACCACTGGTTTGGCTTGTAGCAATCACTTCACCATGGACGTTCAGACACATTCACTTTGTTTAATTTAATTCTGGTGCTTATGTTATAGTTCTATTGCCTTTGCCAAAGATGTTGTCAAGTTGCTGTGGTTAAGTTTCATTGTGAATATAAATTAACCATGTGAAATTTCAGCCATTAGTTATGTCCCAGTTCAGTGGCTGCAGTCTTCATATACTGTGTTTATATATATATATATATAAAGACTACACCCACTGTTGATGACATCCCTGAGGAAAGCAGGCCTGAGTTGCAGGTACTGGTTAGATGGGATAAAGTACAACATACATATGACAGATTTGACACATCTTCCAATGACCAACTGTTCATAAAAAGACACTTGAACAATTGCTTGCACTGTAATTGACTTGTCTTGGTGAGTGTCACTTTGTTCTCACTGATTGTTGGCTGTGCAGGAGGTTCTGACTGAATTTCTGCAGTGGTTCTAAAAGTTTTGATCAGGCAGATTCTGCATGTTCTGCTGCTTTGCTGTCCCCCTTTCATTATGTTGCATGATGCTGATGGGTTAATAAAGCTGATTACTGGGCAACACTAAGATTCCATTTTTTAAGTCAACCTAAAAAGTCAAGATCATTACTTCAGGGCTTATTATTTCATTTGGTAATGGATGTAATGGTTCTTCAGGAATACTTTTTTGAGGCATTTTTTCATGTAGTACTCATAAATTTTGCATAAAACTGGGAAACTTCGTTCTGCCATAATCATCCATTTTATTTCCACTGTGCAGAACCACTGTTCATAAAACTAAACCCTGTCAGTACTAGCGGGTACAAAAATATGATTTGTTGTTGGTGGTCAAGTTTCCTGGATGGATGTTTGTTGCCTGCACACACGCTGAGTTTTCTGCAGTTGTTCAGCTCAGTAAATGAATAAACTCCAGTGACCTGTTGCTTGTGTTGCCTGCAGGGGCAGAGCAAGGTAACACCTACAAGTTGAATTTTGTGTTTGTCTGCATCTACTGGTATCTTATTGAATCATTATGCCAATTTAGATTTTAGGAAAGTTAATTTTTTGTCAGCTAAGGCCTGAAGCATACTTCGCAAATGTCTACTTCTGCACTTGCACTTTACAGTAGTTGCAATTTAAGCCAGTGTTTGTGTGTGTGTGTGTGTGGATCCATTATAACATCCAGGAAACAAAACTATATGTATATTGAGCTTACTTTGTAGAAAATGTTCCAACAGTAATCTATATTCATTGCTCACTCCAACTTTAATATTTTTACATACTGTACTGTTTGTTGGTTTATTGACTTGGTCCTCCAGAGTGTTTGAGAGTCTAGGCTGGGCAGCAAAAATGGACAGAAGAGGACAAGAATAACAAAGAGACAGAACCTTGGCAGAGACAGAGAGGCTGTCACACAGCCTGTGATGTGCTCAGTAGGCTGAATGAAAAACATCATGAGGGGGAAATGTGATTAGAAAAAAATGAGAGAATGATGAGATGTTTTGAAAAGAGGAGAGCGAAGCCAATATGGATAAAAGTAAGGACTAGATAGGGCCATGAGGATGGAAAAATGTAGAAGGAGGAAAAGCAAGATGAGAGAGGCATGAACAGATGGAGTGGGCTGGGACTGTTTTGGTGCACAATGGGATTATCAGCATGTGGTTACAGTATATTACAGCTGACATGGTACATCTACTAATTAAAGGATAAACCAACATAAAGTGTCTCATTAAGGTGTTGGGCCACCACATGTCACCAGAACAGCTTCGGTGCTCCTTGGCATTGACTTTCTAAGTCTCTGAACTCTACTGGAGGGATGAACACTATTCTTCCAAAGGATATTCCCTAATTTGGTGTTTTGATGATGATGGTGGAGATGTTGTTTAGCATGTCAGTCCAAAATCTCCCATAAGTGTTCAACTGGGTTGAGACCTGGTGACTGTGAAGGCCACAACATATGCTTCACATCGTTTTCATACTCAGCAAACTATTCAGTGACCCCCGTGCACTTTCCTTTACTCTGTCACCTGTCTGTAGCTCCATGGCTCACTGACTAAGTGGCTGTTGGACTGTTTCATATACCTCACTGAAGTGGCTGAGCGTCCTTGTGTGTGTGTGTGTTGGACCTCTCATGCTCCTAGAACTATGGATTTACTACTCAAGTAGTAGTAGAATTGTCCAGTCGAGCCTCAGAAACCTTGGTGTTGTGTTTGACCAGTCTATGTCTCTTGATTGTCACATAAGACAGGTGGTTAAGAATTGTTTTTATCACCTGAGGAACAGCTAAATTAAGGAAAATGTTATCAAAGGTTGATTTGGAAATGATTGTTCATGCTTTTATCTCTTCACGTGTTGATTATTGTAATTCCCTTCTTACTTGTTGTAATAAGTCAGCCTTAAATCGCCTTCAGATTGTGCAGAATGCTGCAGCAAGGCTTCTTACAGGAACCTCTAGAACAGCTCATATTACGCCTATCTTAGATTCACTTCACTGGTTACCAGTTAAGTTTAGGATTGATTTTAAAATTTTAGTGCTAACATTTAGAGCACTTCATGGTCAGGCTCCTCAGTATATTGCTGATCTATTGACCCCATAAACTGAAAAAACCTTAGAAAAAAATCAACTGGACTTAGATTTCTAGATCGAAGACGTTTCACCTCTCATCCAAGAGGCTTCATCAGTTCTGACTGACTGGAGCCTCTTGGATGAGAGGTGAAACGTCTTCGATCTAGAAATCTAGATTCGATCTAGAAATCTAAGTCCAGTTGACTTTTTCTAAGGTTTTTTCAGTTTACTATGACCTGGATGACTAAGAATCTGCACAGACATATTGACCCCATACTTTCCAAGGCGTGTTCTCCGTTCCTCCAGTCAGGCCATCTTGATGGTCCCCAAAACCCGTTTGAAGACTAGGGAGGACCTGTCGTTTCACATTGTGGCTCCTAGACTGTGGAATGCATTGCCCCTGTCTTTACGCATGGCCGAATCTGTCGATGGTTTTAAGTAGCAGTTGAAGACGCACTTTTTTAGACAGGCCTTTAGTTGATTTTTAGTTTTGGTTTTAAATATTTTTGTCTGTTGTTTTATTTTTATGTTATTTTTTGGTTTCTGTTATATTGTTATTTTGTTTGTTCTGCTTTTGTATTTGTTGACCTTGTGAAGCACTTTGTGATTTTATCTATGAAAGGTGCCATATATATAAAACCTACTTACTACTTATAATTGGCACAGGTCCAGGCACCTAGGGTCAGGTGGTTCCTGGGCTGCTGCGTTTCTTGTTGAGAAGTAGATGAAATAATTACAAAGAGACTCAAAAAGACTACAAGGACGCAACCCCCCCACATCTACAGTACACTGCACTACTTTATACTTATACTGGCTCTCAGATCTGTTTCTGCTCTTCCACTTCCATACATGCATGCTCTCAAATTCTGATTTGTAAACTGAATAGTGCTCGAAACTAACTTTGTGCACTTTTGATAGTTTTGGCACAGACAGACTTTCATACAAGCCCCAGTGAAGAAATCTGAGAGTGCAGAGAAGTGCACGTTTGGATGGGACTTTGTTTTCAAATCTGATTCTGCATTTACAAATGTATGCTTATGCATTCTCAAATGCTGAGTTGTAAACTGAGCTCAGATGTGGTTTGTGCGCCCTCATTTTGGTGGGGATGTATTTACATACAAGTCCTGTCCTGCTTCTCTCATGCAGCTTCACTGCTTTCTTAATGAGATCCTTCAAGGCAAATGTATTTCCTTGTATTGAAAAATGGGGGTGTGGCAGTAATGTAACTGGTTATTTTAGAATGATTCTGATTTACTAACATGCGCACGGTGGTAAGAACTAAATTTGTGTTCGTCATGAACCTGAGGGTAATTTTGTGGTCGCACTTATTTCAAGTGCAAGGTAAGAATGCTCCTACGCCCATATTAGTGAATGAGGTGCAATGTGCCAGCAGCCCCCTGTCAGTGACTAATAGCCTGACAGTGCATGGCTTGGCTCTGGTGTGGTTCTAACCAAGTGGGTTTCCGTGTGTCCAGTTCTAGCTGTTGCTGAGGCAACAGGCAGCACCATAGCACAGTATATAGCAGTGGTGGAAAGTAACTAAGTACATTTACTCATGTACAATTTTGAGGCATCTGTACTTGATGATTTTCATTCTCTGCTATTTCATACTAGGACTTCACTACATTTCAGACAAAAGTTGTTAGGTGAATGTACTGAGTAATAACTCTAGTTGCTAGTTACTTTTCAGAATTAAATTAATAAAACAAAATACAGTATAATCATGAAACTTTATTGATCTGATTATTGATGTATAAAACAACATATTTAAGTAGATATAACATAGTTGAACCAGGCTTTTCCATAGACATGCAATTAACCTTAAACCACTGTTAAATATACACAAAAGCATAAATCAAACTGCATCATCTTCATTTTCCTGGAGGGAGATGAGTCACACTATGTGAATGATCTATTCTAAATCAGGCTTTGAAAGTAATACAATGCACTGTAAAGATAATACATAATAAACTGGTACACTGCAGCTCTCAGCAGTCAAACGACATAAATAAGAACAGAATGCCATGATGTATTATTATTTGAAGATAGGTAATTCACAAACTATACTAAAAATAGAGTACGAATATAAATCTAATGAACAGAAATTATACAATGCACATATGTATGTAAATTGTTATACATACACATAGAAGTCGCAGTTTCGGTTGTGTTGATGTCATCAGAGGGAGACACAGGAAATGGGAAGAAGAAAACAGAGGAGAGGAAGAGAATGGTAACACCAGTGAGGCAAATGTTGAGGTGACTGGGATTTATAGATTTAAAAAAGACTTTCCACTCACCTTTATTGATCAAGGCAGAGGGCAGATGCAGAGGTGCTCAAATGCTCAGTATGTTCCTTCCTGCATTTCTAACTCTGTGTCACTCTTCTGTCTCTTCTCTGCTAGTGACTATATAATCAAGGAGAAGACAGTGCTTCTACAGAAAAAAGACAGCGAGGGTTTTGGTTTTGTGCTGAGAGGGGCCAAAGGTAAGAAAATACAAAGTAACAATAAACACCATGCCTTCCATTTACAGTCACTGACATATGAACTGCAGTACTAATCATATGACATACTGCTTTATGTGAAATGCTAATGCGTCCTCTTGTGCCATATTCTCATGACGTCTTCAGCTCAGACTCCGATCGAGGAGTTCACTCCCACCCCGGCCTTTCCTGCCCTGCAGTACCTGGAGTCAGTGGATGAGGGAGGTGTGGCGTGGAGAGCTGGTCTCAGGATGGGGGACTTCCTGATAGAGGTACCGCCATGATTTACCACTGCATTATCTGGGTGAACTTGAAAACACTGGCAGATTTCCTGTGGACGTTTTTGAACATATACAGAACAACAAAGCAATCACAGTCTCGGCCTCCTCAGAGTCCTC